ATATGCTCAACATCACTAATCATCTGAGAGATGCAAATTAAAACAGCAGTGAGGTATCACCTCACACCTGTCAGAATGGCCGCCATCAACAAGTCATCAAACAAGTGTTGGTGAGGGTGTGGAGAAAAGGGGACTCTAGCACACTGCTGGTTGGAATGCAGACTGATGAAGCCACTATGGAAAACAATATGGTGCTACCTCAAAAAATTAAAAATTGAACTTCCATTTGACCCAGTGATCCTGCTTCTAGAAATATACCCTAAGAAGCCTGAAACACCAATCAGGAAGAATATATGTACCCCCATGTTCATAGCAGCACTATTTACAATAGCTAAGATCTGGAAACAGCCCAAGTGTCCATCAGTAGACGAATGGATAAAAAAGCAGTGGTACATATACACACTGGAGATATAAGAATGATCTCTTATCCTTTGAGACGACATGGACGTACCTGGAAAGTATTATCCTAAGTGAAATAAGCCAAGCAGAAAAGGGCACATTCCACATGATCTCACTTATATACCAAATATAATGAACATAATAATCTGAGGAATACGGTAGACCCAGAAACATGGAAGTAGGGCACAGACTGTCATCCCTCAGAAGAGGGGGTGGGGGGGTGGGAAGAGATAAACCACAGAACTTATATGCATGTGTACATAACCAATAGACATGGACAACAAAGCCAGGGACGGAACGGGGGTGGGGTGGGGAGGGGGGTGCCAATGGGGTAAAAAAGGAGAAACATCTGTAACAAAAAATAAATTACTTAAAAAAAAAGAATTTAACTTTGGTGATATACATTGGTTTTGTACGATTTTACCTATGTTGGTTAATGATGTCATAACCAGTAGTATAAACCTCCACAGGAAATACTAATTCTTTAAAAATTAAAAAATTTTGATGTAAAATAAAACAATACGTAGAATAATACAAATTCACTTAAGTGGAACTATACATTTACAGAGTACTAAAACTATATGACAAAATAAAGTAAAAAAATAGTAACCAGAAAAATAATAATAAACTAAAAGTAATATACATTATTTAACCAAAATAAGTACCTGAGAAAGATTCATAGTTGATTCAATAACAAAAGAATCCATGAATTAAATGAAAATGTTAACTATGTCTTGATTTCTATAGTAGAAATTCTTAACAATTATATATAATTCCTTTTCTTTAGAAAATTGATAACTTGAAATGGACTTAGAGTTTATGGTATAGAAAAAATACATTATAAAAATATTTTAATAAAATAAAGAATAGTTTTATGACATAAAATCTACCCATTTAATGCATTTCTTTAAAAGACACAGTTCTACAGAAGAATTGTTTTATAATCAAATTTAACCATTTAATATTTCTTACATAAGGCACAGTTCTGCAGGATAGCGTTAACTCCTATTCATCTAAATACAAACCAGATATTTCAATTAATTGTACTTCCTGTCCACAATCAATGTTTATAAGATTTACTTAATAATGTAATTAGTAGGGTTATATCACAAAATTAGCAAAGGCTCAGTTCTTTTCACTTGTTATAAAACCATACTAAAAAAGGTAATGTTCAAAATGTGATCAAAATACAAAACCCCTTTAGCCTCCAAACTCTGCTTTCTTCTTAAAATGAAAACCCTGAGAACAAGAATGATTAATTGATTCATAGGAGAGTGAAGATCGGCCTGGAACCCTGACACCCGCTTTTGCCTCCTGTGTCTTTTCACATGCATTATGCTGCTTCATCTGGCATGAGTGATTCCTATATGGCCATGAAATACACAATTCTGTATGATATTGGGAAAAGAATGTAGGAAAACAATTTGTCCATGTAAAAGTCATCGAACTTGCACTGAAAAATTAGAATTCTTCATGTTACCAAATGTATTACTGAAGCATTTTTCTACACTACTCATTTTCCAGATACGTGAATGTTTATGTAATATAAAACATCCAAAAAATTCATTAAATTTTTTAAAACACTTATTAAAAATTAGTTATATGCTACTTGACACTCTGCTACTTTTAATATGCCTGATAATGATTTTCATTATATTTTCACATATGATATAATAGTGGATACAAGTTGAGAATATTTTTGCTTTTTAAAATTTTTTTGCCACACAATGCTATCTAAATTTAATCACATAAAATACCTTCGATTTAGATGGTAAAAGAAATCAGAGAGGTGTTTAATCTCAACAAACTGTTTCAACACTATGCCTTAGCTTACTATCTCTAGGATAACTATAAAAATAGTACTTGCCATGCATAAGTAGAGTTGCTATCCAGAATAAATACGTAGCTAGTATAACTACATCATTTGACATCATACCTGACATATTATATTGCATACTAATAAATGTTAATTATTATAGTTATAATTCCTTAGCTGCAGTCTAAAACATGGTAATATTATTAAGATTGCAAAACATGAAATATGATTTTAAAGAATAACGTACTTAAAGCAATGTGTATTTATTAAAAGGAGACTTGCTATAGTTCATTCAACCCGATAAAGTGGTCTTTTCATACTGAAAAATGCTTCGCATTAATCCTTTTAAACTGGAATTTAACCAATTATTTTATTTTTTATTTTATTATTTTTTTAATCTTTATTGTTGAATGTAGAATTTATTACAGATGTTCCATATTTTCCCCCCATTGACTCCCTCCTCCCTACTCCCGCCCCCCTCCCGCCTTTTCCCACACTATTGTCTGTGTCCATTGGTTATGCATATAAGTTCTTTGGTTTATTTCTTCCCACCCCCCAACCCCTTTCCCTTTGAGGTTTGTCAATCTAGCAATGAATTTGTACTTCTTAATCCCTTCATCTTTTTCACCCATTCCCCCAACCTCCCTCCCATCTGGCAACCAACAAAATGTTCTCTGTATCTATGAGAATGTTTCTGTTCTGCCTGTTCATTTTGTTTGTAGATTCCATTGTTGATAGATATGTATTCACTGCCATTTTGTTTTTTCATATATTTTATCTTTTTCTTCAAAAAGACCCTTCATCATTTCATATAATAACAGTTTGGTGGTGATGAAGTCCTTTAACTTTTTCTTCTCTGGGAAACTCTTTATATGGCCATCGATTCTAAATGACAGGTTTGCAGGATAGAGTAATCCTGGTTGTAGGTTCTTGCTTTTCATCACTCTGAATATTTCTTGCCACTCCCTTCTGGCCTGCAAAGTTTCTTTTGAGAAATCAGCTCACAGCCTTATGGGAACTCCCTTGTAGGTAACTAGCTGTCTTTCTCTTGCTGCTTTTAAGATTCTCTCTTTGTCTTGAACCTTTTGCATTTTGATGATGATGTGTCTTGGTGTGGGCCTCTTGGGGTTCGTCTTGTTTGGGACTCTGTGCTTCCTGGACTTGTATGTCTGTTTCCTTCACTAAGTTAAGAAAGTTTTCTGCCATTATTGTTCCAAACAGGTTTTCAATTTCTTGTTCTCTCTCTTCTCCTTCCTGCACCCCCAAGATGCAAATGTTGGCATGCTTGAAGTTGTTCCAGAGGCTTCTTACACTATCCTCATTTTTTTGGATTCCTTTTTCTTTTTGCTTTTCTGATCGGACGTTTTTTGCTTCCTTATATTCCAAATCAATGGTTTGCTTCTTGGATTTACGTATTCTACTATTGAATCTTTGTAAATTATTTTTTATTTCAGTTAAAGCCTCCTTCATTTCTAACTGTGCATCGATCATTTCTGACTGGTCCTTTTTTATACTCTTGAGGCCCTCACTGAGTTCATTGAGCTTCCGTATAAGCAGTATTTTGAAATCAGCATCTGTTAGGTTGCTTATGTCCATTTTGCTTAGTTCTTTTCTTGGGGTTTTGTTCTGTTCTTTCATTTGGGAACTGTTTCTTTGTCTCCTCATTTTGGCTGCCTCCCTGTGTTTGTTTCTGTGTATGACTTAACGAGCGGTATGGGGCTAGCTGAGACCAGATGCTGCTTGTTTCAAAAAATTTAGGAAGAACCTGAAGCAGGATCCAAGACAGGCCAATCCTATGGTTAAGTAAGTGCCAACAGCTTGGGTGGTCCTGAAAGTTGGGTGGGGCGGGGCCTCAGGGAGTCAGCAGGGCGGGGCTACAATATGAGCCAGGTTGCTGTAGTCCCAGATATGGAGACTGTCTGCTGCCCCAGAGAAGGGCTCACCAAAGGAACAAAGGCCTCTTATAGCACATTTGTCCTGGAGAAAGCCCCCTCTCCAGCCCTCGCTCCAGTGCCAAACAGCTCAGTTCTTCCCTGTGTGTCTCTGGTGCCCCTGGAGCTGCCTCCCCTCCGAGCTTAGAGGGAGAGAGTCCAATAAGTCCGTGCGCGGGCCCTTTAGGGAGCTGCCTGGGGCTCCAGCCGCTTCATCTTCCCTGAGCCTCAGTTCCTGCTGGTTTTTCCAGCCAGAAGTTAGGGGACTTCTCTTCCTGGCACTGGAACCCTGAGCGGGGCACCTGTTGTGGGACGGGGACCCCTCAGTCCTCAGGAAGGACCTTCCCAGCCGAGGGAGCCTCCTGATTTTTATCCGCCTCACGTGGGTGTGGGACCAGCCCGTCTCACCGCTGTCTCACTGCCCCTCGTGCCTCTGACCCGCCGTCCCCCCTATCAGTTTTGATGCAGCTTCTTTAATTCCGTAGTTGTAGGACTTCCATTCGGCTTGATTTCAAGTGGTTTTGAATGATGGTTGTTCTTTAGTTTAGTTATAACTTGGATGTGGTTGTGGGAGGATGCAATACTGCATTTACCTACCTGCCATCTTGACTGGAAGTTTTCTAACCAATAAATTTTAAATGACAAAAGATTTGTAAAACTAAAATGTAATGCAACTTACCATGAATATACGTGTTATACAAAGTAAGTTCAATTATATTTTTCATAACATTATAAATATTCATTTTAAGAAATTAAATATCTGTGAGAGGGTACACATACAATGACTTAAGTGAAATCCCTTAAAATTAATTTTAAACAAACAAACAAAAACATTTAAATATATATGTACCTACCTAGAGTAGGCAAACAATCGACTATCCCAAAGATCATGATTCCCTCTAGGTCCGGAATGAAAATAACAGGAATCTGTCCCATCAAACATATTTAACCCGTCTTCTGAGTTTTTTGAAGCATGGCTGTGTACCACATCCAACAGGACTGTTATGCCCATTGAGTGAGCTGTGTCAACCAGTTCTTTCAGCTCTTCAGGAGTTCCGTAACGGCTAAAGATACAGAACACAGCAAAACCAAAATTATATCATATTTAAAGCAAATAGTCAATCACTTACTGTGAATCAACCGTTTTACCAGCACTATACTACATACTTTAGATATACAAATGCTGTATAACTCTTTGATACAAGTCAAAGTTACTTAATATTTGTTATTGAGGGAATTCAAAAGCATTCAATAAACCAATTTAATCAGGCCATTAAATGTAAATTTATTTATATCTCAACAAAAATTCACATTTTGAGTAGCTAGAGAGTAAAACCCTGCTTTTCTATACTCAGAGCTTCCGGTTTCCTTCTCCAAGCCTAACTAAGCCTGGGAAATGGTCATTCCTGTTCACGGACATGGCCATCTCTTGGAGTAGGCTTGGTTGGGGTTAGAGGGACTCTTATTAGAGTATTTCTTTGAAAGTCCCCAGGGCCTTGATTGAGGCCATCTCTCCTGCATTTACTTATTCCTACACTGAAATGTGCTAAGGTACCAACAGGCCAAGAGAAAATATCATATATGTCACCACCCAAGCAGAAAAGATAGAGCTTACATGTGTTTGTGTTAAAAGTAGTTTCTTTCACATAGATAACAAAATCACACCTTGAAGGAAGTTCTTTCTTAATTACATAAAATCTCTCAACATTACAGTCTTCCATAGCATCATCTTTGTCTTTTAAATAAATGGTCACCCTCGTGACTAACTGTTTACTGTGTCTCTCTTCCTCACTAGACCCCATGCTCCCTGAGGGCAGGGGCTATGACTATCTGGTTTCCTGTGCATGGTATAGTACAGTGCTTAGGATATAGCGAGTCTCCTAACAGCTACCTCCATTGGGCAGCAATAGCTATATTTAAAAAATGCAAATAAGATGATGTCATCTTCTACCTTAAATCATATTTGCATTCCCATTGTGCTTGGAATGAGTACCAGAGTTCTAATCATGACCTACTGGATCCACTTACTCTGGCTCTTTTCAGTTACTTCAGACCTATGATAGTCCACCCCTTCCTCTCCTTATCCTAGCCACCAAACCTTTTTCCACTTACTGAAGAGCATGTTCAATGAATGAACAGCCCTAAAGTTTCACTCATCCATTCATTTGTTTAAGATACCTTGTTAAGACAGCTACCTTGTCATGAAATTTTCTAAGCTCTAAGGATTCAGCAGTGAACAAAATACATCACTGCCTTATGGATTTTATATTCTAGTTTGGAAACAACAAATAAATAAGCAAGATATATAGAATCTCAGATAACAAAAACTTACTTGAAAGAAAATGAAGCAAAGCCACTGGTAAGAATGGCAGGTTTGCTATATTAAGTAGGGACACAAAAGTTTCATGAGGCAGTATCTGAGCAAAGACCTTAAAGAAAGAGTAAGGCATGTGACTAGTCAATGGGAAGAGTGCTCAGAGAGAAAGAGCACTGGGTACAGAAACGAGCAAGGGGCATTTGAAGAATAGAAAATAGGCTATTGTAGCTGGAGTGGATGATAAAGAGGTGAAAACAGAGGGGTGCCAAGACTCAAATTACATAGGGTCTTATGGATCAATCTAAGATCTTTAATTTTTATTCTGAAAGGGAATCATTAGAGGGTTCTGTGCAAAAGAATGCCATGATCTAACTTTTATTCTTCAATGTTTACTCTGGCCACTGTGCAGAAAGTCGTCCATGTATATGGAAGGAGTAAAGACTAGGGCAGGAAGATAAGAAAAAACAGACTGACCAGCTAAAGAGCTATTGAAATAAAAGAGGTAAGAGTTTAAAAGCAACTTAGTCCAGAGTGGTAGCAGCTGAAGCATCCAGATGTGGATACATGTGGGATACAGCTGAAGCAGCCAGATGTAGGATACATGTGAAGCTAGGTTTCATGACAGCTACAGGGACAGAAAAGAAAGGTTAAGTATATTGCGAAGGTTTATGGCTTGAACAACTGGACGATGATGCTGTTTACTAAATTTTAAAAAATGACAGGAGAAGGAAGTTGGAAGATAAGATCAGGAATTTGCCCTGGCCAGTTTGCTCAGCTGTTAGAGTGACGTCCCGCGGACCAGAGAGGCCCAGGTTCGGTTCCCGCTAAGAGCATGTACCTCGGTTGCAGTTTGTCCCCAGCCCTGGTTGGGGTTGTGTGGGTGGCAGGCACTCGATGTGTCTCTCTGATGTCGATGTTTATCTCTCTTCCTCTCCCCCTCCTGCTCTATATGAAAATAAATGCAAAAAAAACCCCCAAAAAAACCCAAAAAAGATAAGATCAGGAATTTAATTTGGGACATGTTAACTATCAGATATGTATTAGATATCCCAATGTCAAGTAGACACTGAAGCTCACAACAGAGGTCAGGACTAGAGAGTTAAATTTGTGAGTTGGCATATAAAGTATATTTAAGCCATAAAAATGGATAAGACTTGATGAGACCCCAAGTTGCTTTATACAGAGAAGAGAAAGTAACCATAAGCCGAGCATTGGAAGATTCAATTTTTACTGATCAGAAAGAGCCAAGAAAATAAGGAAGATACAACAAGAAAGGTGGGAAAAACAATAGGAGGGTAAAATATTCTGAAAGCCGAGAAAAGAAAATAGTTCCAAGACGGTGGGAGTAACCAATTGTGACAAATGCTTTAGACAGTACAAGTAAGAATTTATCTTTGGACTTGACAACGTGGAAGCTATCAGTACCTTGACAACAGCAGTTTCAGTGAGGAAGTAAAGAGGCTCTTTGGAATAAGATTAAGCAAAAAGAGAAGTAGAAGAATTACAGAGAATAAATAAAGGCGATTTATTCAGAGAACTACTATAAAGAAAAACAGGTAAATGAATATAGGTGCAGTTTTTTCTATGTCTTAAATTCTATCCAACTATTCCTACTTCCTTCCTCCCCAAGTTAACTTTTTTTTTTAATTTTATCTTTGTTACAAATGTTTCTCCTTTTCTACCCTATTGACACCCTCCTCCCCATCCCCTCACCCCATCCCCGGCTTTGTTGTCCATGTCCATTGGTTATGCGTACATGCATATAAGTTCTGTGGTTTATCTCTTCCCTCCCCACATCACTCCCTCTTCAGAGGGCTGTCAATCTGTACCCTCCTTCCCTGTCTCTGGGTCTACCTTACTCCTCAGACTGTTATGTTCATTATATAAGTGACCCCTGTCATGAAATCTCACAAATAAGTGAGATATGTGGTATTTGTCTTTTTCTGCTTGGATTGTTTCGCTTAGGATAATACTTTCAAGGTCCCTCCCTGTCGTCTCAAAGGACAAGAGATCTTTCTTTCTTACAGCTGCATAGTACTCTATTGTGTATATGTACCACAGCTTTTTTTAATCCATTCGTCAACTGATGGACACTTGGATTGTTTCCAGATCTTAACTATTGTAAATAGTGCTGGTATGAACATGGGGGTACATATATACTTTCTGATTGGTGTTTCAGGGTTCTTAGGGCATTTTCCTAGAAGTGGGATCACTGGGTCAAATGGCAGTTTAATTTTTAATTTGTTCAGTTAACACCATATTGTTTTCCATAGTAGATTCACCAGTCTGCATTCCCACCAGCAGTGTACAAGAGTCCTTTTTTCTCCACACCCTCACCAACACTTGTTGTTTGATGATTTGTTGATGGCCGCCATTCTGGCAGGTATGAGGTGATACCTTACTGTTCTTTCAATTTGCATCTCTCTGATGATTAGTGATGTTGAGCATTTCTTCATATGTCCCTTGGCCATTTGTATGTCCTGATTAGAGAGGTGTATACTCAGCTCCTCTGCCCATTTTTTAATTGGGTTCTTTCTCTTTCTTTTGTTGAGTTGTATGAGCACTTTATACATTTTGGAAATTAACCCCTTATCTGATGTATCATTGGTAATAATGCTCTCCCATACAGTAAGTTGCCTTTCCATTTTGATAGTTGTTTCTTTTGCAGTGCAGAAGCCTTTTAGTTTGATGCAGTCCCATGGGTTCATTTTTTCCTTTGTTTCTGTTGCCTTAGGTGATGTATCAGTGAAAATTCTGCTCCGTATGATGTCCGAAACTTTGTTGCCTACATTTTCTTCTAGAATTTTATTGATTCATGGGTCACAATTAAGTCCTTTATCCATTCTGAGTTTATTTTTGTGTGTGGTGTAAGTTGATGGTCTAGTTTCTTTTTTTTTTTTTTTTTTTTGAATTTAGCTGTACAATTTTCCCAACGCCATTTATTAAAGAGGCTGTCGTGACTCCACTGTATGCTCTTACCTCCCTTGTCAAATATTAATTGAGCATAATGTCTTAGGTCCATTTCTGGGTTCTCTGTTCTGTTCCACTGGTCTATATGCCTGTTCTTGTGTCAGTACCAGGCTGTTTTGGTTACAGTCACTTTGTAGTATAACCTGATATCTGGTATTGTGATCCCACCGATTTTGTCCTTCTTTTTCAAGATTTCTGTGGTTATTCGGGGTCATTTTTTTGTGCCATATGAGCTCTGGAAGTATTTGTTCTAGTTCTCTGCAATATGTTGTTGGTATTTTGATGGAGATTGCATTGAATCTATAGATTGCTTTGGGTAAAATGGACATTTTAATGATGCTAATTCTTCCAATCCATGAACAATGTATGTGCTTCCACTCTTTCCTATTTTCCTCTATTCCTTTACTTAAGTTTACTCCTAGGAATCTTAATTTTTTTGCCACAATGACAAGTGGGATTGTTTTTTCAGTTTCTCTTTCTGTGAGTTCATCATTGGTGTATAAGAATGCCGTCGATTTCCTGACATTAATTTTGTACCCTGCTACTTTGCCAAATGCATTTATTAAGTCTAGTAGATTTCTGATGGACTCTTTAGAGTTTTCTATGTATAATATCATGTCATCTGCAAATAATGACAGTTTCACTTCCTCCTTTCCAATTTGGATCCCTTTTATTTTTTCCTCATGTCTGACTGCTGTGGTTAAGACTTCTAGTACTATGTTAAATAAGAGTGGCGAAAGTGGGCGTCCCAGTCTTGTTCCTATTCTTAAGAGAAATGCTTGTAGTTTCTGCCCATTGAGGATGATGATGGCTGTAGGTCTTTCATATATGGCCTTTATTGTGTCGAGATATAATCCCTCTATTTCCTCATTGCTGAGCGTTTTTATCAGAAATGGGTGCTGGATTTTGCCAAATGCTTTTTCAGCATCTATTGATATGATCATGTGGTTTTTATTTTTCATTTTAATTATGTGGTGTATCACATTTATTGATTTGCTAATATTTTACCAGCCTTGCATCCCTGAGATGAATCCCACTTGGTCATGGTGAACAATTTTTTTGATATAATGCTGGATTCGATTTGCTAGTATTTTGTTCAGGATTTTGGTGTCTATGTTCATCAGACATATTGGCCTGTAGTTTTCTTTCTGTGGAGTGTATTTTTCTGGTTTTGGAATTAGAATTGTGCTGGCTTCATAGAACGAGTTTGGAAGTCTTCCTTCTTGAATTTTTAAAAAGAGTTTGAGGAGAATAGTTGTTAGTTCTTTTTTGAATGTTCGGTATAACTCACCCATGAAGCCATCTCAGCCTGGGCTTTTGTTTGCTGGGAGAGTCTTGATTACATCTTCAATTTCCTTAGTTTTTATTTGTCTGTTCAAGTTTTCTGTCTCTTCCCGGTCCAATTTTGGGAAACTGTGTGTTTCTAGAAATTTCGCTTAGATTGTCGAATTTGTTGCCATATAGTTGTTCATAGTAGTTCTAAACGATCATTTGTATTTCTGTGGTGTCAGTTGTTACTTCTCCTCTTTCAATTCTGATTTTGTGTATTTGGGTTCTCTCTCTTTGTTTCTTGGTGAGTCTAGCCAAGGGTCCATCTATCTTGCTTATCTTTTCAAAAAACCAGCTCTTTGTTTCATTGATCCTTTGAATTGTTTTTTTTGGTCTCTATGTCATTCATTTCTGCTCTGATCTTTACTATTTCCTTCCTTCTACTTGCTCTGGGGTTTTCTTTCTGTTTGTTTTCTAATTCTTTAAGTTGTGAGGTTAGATACTCTATTAGAAATTTTTCTTGTTTCTTGAGATAGTCCTGTAGTGCTATGAACTTCTCTCTCAGAATTGTTTTCGCTGCATCCCATAAATTTTGTGTTGTTGTGTGTTCATTTTTATTGGTTTCCAGGAAGTTTTTAATTTCTTCCTTGATTTCCTTGGTAACCCATTCATATTCAATGACATGGTATTTAGGCTCCATGTGTTCAAATATCTTAGCATGTTTTTGTTGCAGTTGATTTCTTGTTTCATGCCATTGTGATCTGAGAAGATGCTTGATATGATTTCAGTCTTCTTGAACTTGTAGAGATTTAGTTTGTGTCCTATCATGAGGTATATCATTGAGAATGTCCCATGTGCACTTGAGAAGAATGTGAATTCTGTAGTTTTGGGGTGTAATTCTCTGTAGATACCGATTAAATCCATTTGGTCTAGTGCTTCATTTAGAGTTTTTGTTTCCTTGCTAATTTTTTGTCTAAAGGATCTATCCAGTGGTGTCAACGGGGTGTTGAGGTCCCCTGCTATGATTATATTGCTGTCGATTTCTCCTTTGAAGTCCTCCAGAAGATTTTTAATGTATTTTAGTAATCCTATATTGGGTGTATATATGTTTATCAAGGTTATCTTCCTGTTGGATAGATCCTTTCAATATTATGTAGTGGCCTTCTTTGTCTCTAGTTATGACCTTCATTTTAAAATTTACTTTATTAGATATAAGTATTGCTACCCCAGCTTATTTTTGCTTCTCGTTTGCTTGGAAGTTTTTTTTTCCATCCCTTCACTTTCAACCTGTGTGAGTCTTTTGTTGTGAGGTGGGTCTCTAATAAACAACATATAGATGAGTCATGCTTTCTTATCCAATCAGCTACTCTGTGTCTTTTTATGAGAGCATTCAATCAATTTACATTTAAGGTGATTATTGATATGTATTTATTCATTGCCATTCTTGTTTATTGTGATTATATTTTTGTTCCTGTTTCTCCTGCTAATTACCACATTCCTTTTAACATTTCTTGCAATGCTGGTTTGGTGCTACAGTATTCCCTTAGCCTTTTTTTTTTTTTATCTGGAAAGCTCTTGATTTGACCTATTTTGAATGATAGCATTGCTGGGTAGAGTAGTCTTTGATTCAGATCCTTGTTTTTCATGACCTTGATCACTTCATGCCACTCCCTTCTGGCCTGTAGTGTTTCTTGTGAGAAGTCAGCTGAGAGCCTTATGGGGTTTCCTTTGTAGGTAACCTGTTGCTCATCTCTTGCTGCTTTTAGGATTCTCTCTTTGTCTTTAATTTTTGGCATTTTAATTACTCTGTGTCTTGGTGTGGGCCTGTTTGGGTTCTTCTTACTTGGGGCTCTCTGTGCTTCTTCATCTTGAATGCCTTCTTCCTTCACCAAATTAGGGAAGTTTTCTGTCACTATTTCTTTGAATATATTCTGTAACGCTTGTTCATTTTCTTCTTCTTCCGGGACTCCTATGATGCAAATGTTATTACATTTCCAGTTGCCCCACAGTTCTCTTAAGCTGTCTTCCTGTTTCTGTTTTTTAATTGTTTTTTCCTTTTAGTTTTCTGATTGGTTTATTTTTTTCTACCCTGTCCTCTAATTCACTGATCCGGTCCTCAGCTTCTTCTTCTCTGTTGTTTAGACCTTCCAAAGTGTTCTTTATTTCTGATATGTCATTCTTCATTTCTTCTTGGTGGTTTTTAATTTCTAACTGGTTGATTTTCAACATTTCTGTGTCTTTACTCATGGTGTTGATGTCCTTACTCATGCTGTTGAGCTTCCTCAAGATCATGGCTCTGAATTCTGGCTCTGTTAACTTGCTTAACTGTTCCCCATTTATCTCATCTTTAGTAGAGGTCTCTTGTTCTTTCATTTGGCTTTTGTTTCTTTGTTTCACCATTTTGGCTATCACAGCCACGTTAAACATCACTGTTAAGTCTTACTTTCCTCGTTAGAGCTGCTTGCCCAGGAAAGGTTCAGTTATCTTCTAGCTTTTTGCCTGGAGGTTAGCAGTCGAGGTTACTTGAAGAGCCTTGGGTTCTCAGGTGAATGAAAAACTCCCTCAGAAGCTCAGAGTAAGGGGATTTCCTGAGGGTGGGGCAGATGCTGGTTGTTAATGAGTCTCAATTTGCATTTCAATGGCCCACCTGGGTGGGGTTGAATCTCCAACGGAGGGGCCGCGGCCTCTCCCTAGAGCCCTGGCAAGAAATAAGTTGTCCACCATCTTCATGGCTGCAACTCAGGAAAAGTTCTGAGTGCCCTTCAAATCCTGAGTGTCCCTATACAGTTCCAGTCCAGTCAGCCCTCCCTCTGCCAGAGCCCAAGGTGAGTGGCTGTGGCTATTTTAGCATCTGTCCTGGCTCTGGGCTGTGGAGCCACTTGGTTGTTTAACTGGAGGGCGCTACTCACAGCTAAAGCCACTGCTGTCTATGGGCTCCCAGCCCCCTCTTGCACCTCTACAATCCTACCAGGATCGAGTCAGTGTCCCTAGTTATATGATCCTCGCAAGCTGCTTTTCTGTTGCTTTTCCCCAATGATTTTTCTTTATTTTAGTTGTAATTCCCGTTTGGTCCTGGGAGACGGTCTGTGTATCTTCCATTCACTCTGCCGCCATTTTGGAATTCTGTCCCAAGTTAACTTTTAATCCTGCTTTAGATCTTAGTTCTAACAGTAGTTCATTTATAATGTATTTGGATCAGACCTCTGATTCTATGTATTATAGCACTCTGCTATTTTCTGCGTTGCTGCTGTTACAAATAGAAATCATAATATATATGATTACTGGATTCATGTCTATATGCCACCACAGAATAATCTCTGTGAGGCGAAGACAACATGAAACTTGTTCAACTTGTGGTCATTCAGGTCAGCACCTCTTCAATTACATAAGGCTACATTCCGTATATTTCAGCCTGGGAAGAAGGGCAGTCCTTCTGTAGGTAGTATATGTCCTACCCATGGACTCCTCAGTCACCTTCCTACATGAGTCAATCTTTTTCCATAAAAGGATATGAGCTCTGGTAATAATGGCTTCCATTGACATGGTTTTCTGACTAAAGCGTAGGCCTCCAAATACATAAAAATTTTAGCAGGTAATTGGATATTCTTGATCAGAAATCATTTAATGAAAAGCAACATTAAATCAAGGCCAACTCTTATGACTAGATGGAACAAGTCTTTCACCTTAGTAAAATACACTAAGCGCTATTAACTTTGTTAACCCTAAAACAGATTACAAAATGACTTATAAAATGTAATAATTCATTTTACTATTTTTGCTTTTTCTGAGAAAAGAATGAATATAACGAGTCTTTCATTTTACCTTGAAGCTGCAAAGAAGCTTGTGATTTGGTACCCAAAACTGGCATAATAAGCATGCTCCATGACTGCCATCATCTGAATGCAGTTGTATCCTATATATCAGCAAAAGTCAGAGATTAAAAGCTACATTAAAAAAAGGAATAAAATTATATATACACACAGAATCCTTGTTAAAAACATTAAGTTTTACATATAATTATTTATATATAAATGACCTGATCATTTTGAAAAGTCCTACTACTTTAATACTTTTTACTTGTCTGACCTTCTAACACAAATTGGACAGTTAGTTCTTGAGAGTTATACATACTTTAACTAGCTATTTCAAATGTTTTCAGTTTAACAAGTAATACATTATGCAAATATATTCTTAATTTGGATTTAGGATATTAAAGATGGCAATCTGCATATGCTAAACCCCAGCTGCACTCGTAATATTCATCCTAAAGACTGAATGCTAAATAAAAATAACTGCCCTGGACGGTTTGAAAAAAATAAATAATTAAATAAATAAATAAATAAAAATAACCAATTGCATGCCATATACTTTATATTTTACCTTTTCCTTTATATTTTAGTTGTTCTATTATATAGTATAAGACATAGCAGCAAATCCATTTTTCTACATGGTAGCTTTTACGAATCAACATTAATTCTTCTACTTTCCACTATTTCTTGCACCTATAAAATTACTCTAAACTTGCTTGTGCACACACAACCTTCCTTTCTCTATCTGAAAATGTTGGGCACTAACACTAAAAGAAGTGACTCAAAAAAGGTAGGCACTGCCTTTTTTAAAATAAAACAATTAAAAAGCAAAAATTTCTTCTCTGATTACTTGCTTACATTAAAACACATTAATAAATACTGTAAAATGTTATGTTCTTTAAAAAAAATAAAAAAAACAGATCTTTCTCCGTCCAAGTACAATTTGGTATAATTTTCTAATATGATTTGATTCTTGGTAAGTTATATTTCTGTAGCATGCATAGAAAATACTCATTCTCTTCTCAAAGTCCAATTATTTTTAATGTAGCTTCTTGTACACATATTTCAGTACATAATTAACATTGGAACAATAACAAATTCACATTTGGAATTAGAAATTCATAAGTTTAAAAAATAACAAACTCCATGTTCATAATTTTCTGAAAATCTTATAAGTATTTGTCTTTATACTGCAAAAAAAATAAAATTAACTACCTGGCTTGATATAAATAGGTACATAAATTACCACTCAGATAGCAGAAATGAATTATATACTTCATAAAACATAAAATTTGCAGTTTATTTCTATATTACATAATAAATATTATTCTCACAATCAAGCACCAATTTCTAGTTTTTTATTATTAATTTTATAGTATTAATCATTCCTACATTTATTTCTGTTGAGAATACTGGACAATGCAAGTCAAAACGCAAAGATTCTGCCAAATCTACAAGAACCAAGTCATGAATCATTTGTTACTTTATAAAATTACAGAACATCTCAAATACAACAATTTTAACATAATATCTATTAAATATAGTCAATATTAAATTCCCTATACATTTATTTAATTTTGATTTCCGGAACCTGACCTCATTATCACAGATAATTAAGATCCATATATAACAAAAATCTTGAACCATAAATTTATAAACTTTAACGTACTTTATCTTCCTGCCTCGTCACTGGAGCAGGTGCTAATATATGCAGCAAAAGGATTAATAAAAACATACCTCTAAAAAGAAAGCCACATGGCTAAGAGACATATTAAGAAATGCTCAATATCAGTAATCATCAGAGAGATGCAAATTAAAACAACAGTGAGGTATCACCTCACACCTGTCAGAATGGCCGCCATAAACAAATCATCAAATGAGTGCTGGCAAGGGTGTGGAGAAAAGAGGACTCTAGTACACTGCTGGTGGGAATACAGACTGGTGCAGCCACTATGAAAAACAATATGGTGTTACCTCAAAAAACTAAAAATTGAACTTCCATTTGACCCAGTGATCCCACTTCCAGGAATATACCCTAAGAAGCCTGAAACACCAAGCAGAAAGAATATATATATGTACCCCTATGTTTGTAGCAGCACTATTTACAATAGCTAAGATCTGGAAACAGCCCAAATGTCCATCAGTAGACGAATGGATAAAAAAGCTGTGGTACATATACACAATGGAGTGCTATGCAGCTGTAAGAAAGAAAGATCTCTTATCCTTTGAGAGGACATGGAGGGACCTGGAAAGTATCATCCTAAACAAAACAAGCCAAACAGAGAAAGACAAGTATCATATGATCTCACTTATTTGTGGAATATAATGAACATAACAGTCTGAGCAATGGGGTAGTCCCTGAGACGTGGAAGTGGGGTACAGATTGACAATCCCCAGAAGAGGGGGTGGTGGGGAAGAAATAAACCACAGAACTTATATGCACGTCTGCATGAACAATGAACATGGACAACAAAGCTGGGGACAGAGTGGGGAGGGAGGGGAAGGGGTAAATCAGTGGGGGAAAAAGGAGAAACATCTGTAACAAAAATAAATAGATTAAAAAAGAAAGAAATATGTGATATTACAGTGGTAAATAAAGGTTTTACTAACCAAGAAAAAAAAAAAAAAAAAAAAAACAAGCCACAGATTTAACGCATACTGAATCAATAATTCAGCTATTCACTCTCCTAGCTACTCCCATGAAGACAGGGTACATGTCATTAGTTCCAAACGCAAACATCTACAACAATGTATTTCACATAGAAGATGCATCATAAATATTTGCCAAATATGTCTCCAGACAAGAGCTGCATATTACAGTGACTCTAACATAAAATAAGTTCCAGTCATCTTACAAATGTGTGATTTTTTCCCCTAACAAGTTAAAATGAACAGGCTTTACTCAATGACCACTTAAAGTGATAAAAGTTCTCTGCCGTAAAAATGTAATTATGCTTATATATTTATCTACAATTTTTCAATACTTCACATTATTTAAAATTGAAATTGTAATAATATCTTGAATTCTTATTATCCCATATCTCTTTTCTATGCCATCACTATTACAGGGCAATTTGAGAAGCCTAAAATAAAATGCATTTCTATTACACATTTAATCTCTTAACACAAAAAAGAGACACTTGTAATTAGCTTTTCTAATAAGAGAACAGATTCATTAAAACTTTATCTGAATAAAAATCATAGCTTTACTTACCAAGGTCTTTGATTCTTGGTAGTACATTACATGTAAAATGTTTATAAGAAGCTATTTTTCCTTCATGGGAAGAAATTCCCACATGAGACTCATAAATTCTTACACCTCTTGGCTTCTTTGGCCTGGAATGCTTCAACTGCAGAACATAAAGTCAGATACACAATCAGAACAGAAACGCAGGCATGACACCAGCTGATAAAGCGTGTTAAATGAAATGGTGGATCAGCTCAAATACTCTGGAACTGATTTTACATATAAAAATAATTGGCTACATCCATTAAATTTTCTTTTGAGCCTGGCCAGTATGGCTCAGTGGTTGAGTATCGACCCCTGCACCAAGAGTACACTAGTTCAATTCCCAGTCAGGGCACATGCCCAGATTGTGAGCCTGATCCTCAGTGCGGGGCACGCAGGAGGCAGCTAATCGATGTTCTCTCTCATCGATGTTTCTATCTCTCTCTTTCTCTCTCTAACATCAATAAAGAAAAAAACATTTTTTTAAATTTCCTTTTGAGAAAAAAATTCTTTTTAGCATCATGTTAATTAACCTTTTTTTTTTTATCCTCACCGGAGGACATTTTTGCATTTACCTTCAAATAGAGCAGGAGGGAGGGAGGGAGGGAGGAAGAGAGAGAGAAACATCAACATGAGAGAGATACATCGATTGGCAGCCACCTGCACAACTCCAACTGGGGTCGGGGACAAACTGCAAGCAAGGTGCGTGCCCTTAGAAGGAATCAAACCTGGGACTCCCCGATCCACAGGCCAACGCTCTAACCGCTGAGCCAAACCGGCCAGGGCAATGAACCTATTTTAAAAGAGCAATAATGTAATGGCTTATGCCTTATCATTGAGTGAAGATATATTTTGAGCACACATAAGAGCTGTGAGATGCATATATAGTTATTAAATGCCAAGCACTTATCAACAAGGTCCAGTAACTTAAAGGACAGAAAAGTGAGCTCGAAGATACCTGTAACTTGTGAATAACACAGTCTTAGCAATTACCCTGATTATACATTCATGAAATGCCCTCACTATTTCTTGTTCTTAAGGACACCGATCTTGCTTCAAACCGATGACAGAGAGAAATGGAACATCACTGAAGAGTCTTTGATAAATCAAAAATTTTGGTTAAGATTTTAAAAGATAATCAGTATTCCTTATAGGTCACTATGCAGAGATTTGGTTTTCTTTCCCTCTTAAATCTCAGAAATACATGATAAAAAAACTCACTTTTATAATTTACTGGCTACAGATGACAGACTCTGATATATGTATAGTGAATGGATGCAGTATAACATAAAATATTAAACCAGCACTGAAAAGTTGAACATTACTATAAAAGTTATAAAAGTAAAAATTAATTTTCCTAGAAATATTGAAACAAGCATTTATTTAAAGATGTGTTGTTCTCACTTTATATGGGTGTTCTGGATCCCAGTGTATCCAATCATAATTGACATTGTCACCTTCACGAGCCACGTACTTCGCCCATGGTGAAATACGATACAAAATCTCTCCACTTTTGCTTCTAATAACCACCTAAAAAACAGTACAAAATGTTATTGCTTTAAAATACTTCAAAACTAAGATAATGCATAATAATTTATGAGCGCTGCTAAAAGACAGAAAAGGAGGAATGATGCTAAGAATCTAAACTACCAGATGTATGACCTTAAAGATGTTTAAATTCTATGGACCTTGCTTTCCTCATCTGCTACAATATATGATCCTTAAAGTAACTTCCAGCTAGAATATTTTATGATTCTCTGGCAATTTCCATCACTCTGCAAACCAAGCATTAGAGTGGTTAAAGTCAGCATACAGTATATAATAAAAAGACATGAATACTATTTGGGAACTTCAGTCCATAAACCAATCACCAGGAGGAAATAATCCTACTCTATTATTAAAAAAGTGACAAGTGACTTATATCACCATCTCTTTCTTTTCCTTTCCATAGCAATTAATTATAGCATTTTCAAAAAGCTAAAGGAGAAAAATGTTTTTCATTAATTATGCACACACACACACCTACAAATATCTTCTACCTTTTTTCAACTTCTCCAATTCCAAGTGTGCTTTACCATATAAAACAAAACATTTTACCTTTTAGCCATCTACTCTTTAGTTGACAATAATATCATTATTGTTATCAACAATAAAAAATAAGAGTAAAATATAAGTACAATTTTACTGAATCCACCATTTTAGACTTACAATGAAATAGAGGACTGAATTGATCAGCAAAATTAGACAAAAAAGTGAGCTACATGAACAAAGTATCCAAGTGACTGCAATTAGAGCTTTTTTTAAAGTTCTTTATAAATTAATCATTCTAAAAGGAGGTAGACTATGACCAAAAAATGTTCAGATTACGAGGTATACAATATTCTGAACACTGAGAGGACATATTCTTCAGTTTCCCTTAGTAGAGAAAAGCTCAAGTTTGCAAAATTCTTGGTAGTTAAGTATTTGTATGTTTTATAATTTAGAAAAAACTTTCATAGTCATAGCTCACTTGATTCTAAAGAATCTTTTATGACACAAATATTGAGATTATGTAAATTGCCAAAAATCCCAAAGTCATTGAGTGGCAGAGCCAAAAGCTGAACACCAAACTTCCAATACTCAGGTCCTTATTCCTAACAGACTTCCACAGTACTTTTCTTGGACTCAAAAAATAAATCATAATTCATGATGGAGGGAGCAGGTCCATGTTGAAAAGAAATGTCTAACTTACATGAAATCAATTTGTTCTCATTCATTATGCCTACCACTTATTGAAGCCAATCATAGCCAAGCATTGCTATCATTCAAGCAATTATCACAAATGCATGAACAAACAAATTCAACCCACCTCTGGAATATTTTACCCCAAAACATTTGTCCTTCAGCCACATGAATTTCTAGTAAAATATATAGCAGTGATATGTTTGAGAAAAAGGACCTTTTGCTCACTTATCCACACAAAACAGGCCATGGAGAAATAAAATATTAGAAATCAGTTTTCACTGAATAGCATTCTGCCTAATCCATCCATCTATCTTTTCTCTCTATTGCAATAGATGTAAAACTCCTCATAAGGAAAATGGATAACTATTTTTAAAGGTATCTGTTGGTGGAGAAATATTTGAAATTTTAAGAAAATGAAGAAACTCTTCATGTTGAATATAATTTCTTCATTCTCTAGAACATTAATTTATCTTGCTATACACATATTATATCTTTGGAGGCTACTGAGTGATGGGGGTTGAAAGAAATGGCCCTTCTATGGGTCTCCTACACTCCTACATATTTTGCTGGGTATACCACAAATAGGAGGTGCTAAACACTCTTGACAGGGGTCGGTTCTCAGTAGTGTGGGTAGCAAAACAACCCTGAGACATGAAATGTCTTCCTTGAAGATACAGCACAAGCTTGATTACTGCTTGCTACAGAAGAATAGATTCTCCAAGGTGAATATTCCTCAGCTATGAGGCAAACCAACTGAGTGAGTAGCATCCATCTGGACCATACAGTGTCAACCTTATGGAACATGGAAGGCAAGGGGGACTTATGCAGATGTGATGCTCATGCTGCTTTCTGTGCTATGAGAAATAAAACCATTTGTCTCAGACTCAGGAGTCTTATGTTTTCTGCTACAATCCAGGAAACAATAAGCTTGTCAACAATCCAGGTCAACATAAGCTTGTAGGTAGGATAAAATCAAATCCTACACCTGACAACAGATTATTTACTCATTCACTGAAAGACTTCAATATATTTGTTTTTTAAAACTCTGTTTCTTCATTTCTGATAGTGTGTTCTTCTTTTTAAATTTTTTTTTTTTTAAATCTCATCCAAGGAGTTTTTTTCATTGATTTTCAGATAGAGTAGGAGGGAGAAAGAGAGGGAGGGAAGAAGGGTGGAGGAAGAGGGAGGGAGGGAGAGGGAGAGAGGGAGAGAAAGAAACATGGATGTGAGAGAGACACATTGATTTGTTACCTCCCTCACGACCCCAACCAGGGCCAGGGATCAAACTGCAACCAAGGTACAGGGCCTTGACTGGAATCAAACCCGTAACTCTGGTCCGTGGGCCAATTCTCTAACCACTGAGCCAAACCGGCCAGGGCTTAATTTTATTTTCAATTACAGTTTACATTCAATATCATTTTGTGTTAGTTTCAGGTGTATAGCATAGTAATAAGATAATCATATACTTGACGAAGTGTTTTCCCCGAGTTATCTGTATTGGTGTTGCTTCTTAGGGTGGACACTTTTAATTACACAATTTCCTCCTTCTTTCTTAGTAGTAAAAATATAGCCTAGGTCCCTGAATATATAGAACAAGGTTTCCCACAAAATCTTATCTGTGTCATTACATAAAAAAATTAATTAATTTATCTGTTCTTTAGGCCCCTGAATTTCAGAGGTATCCTTGTTACAGTAGTTTAGACTTTCCTAATGAATACATTTGCCTAGAGAAGACACCTCCCCTTGCTTTTGATTGACTAGATAGCTATAATAACCAACTAAGAGTATTATAATAAATCAAATATGAGAGACATTCAAATGAGTAAAGAATGTCATATTTCTGAACTAAACTTTGCCCACAAAAGTTTTTTGGAGGGTGAGGGTGTGAGAAGTGGATACTTCCTAGATTTTTGCCCTTTTGAGTTCAAATTTGGATGAAAGGTTCTTAGATGATAAGACTTTGTCATTTAATTTACAACCTCAAAATAGCACATGCTATTAAAAAACAAAATAAACAAACAAGCAGAACACAAACAGATTCATAGATACAGAGAACATTTTGACAGATGCCAGATGGGAGGAAGTTACAGGGAGGGGTGAGAAAGGTGAAAGAATTAAGAAGCACAAATTGGTAGTTATAGAATGGTCATGGGGATGTAAAGTACAGCAGGAAATATAATCAGTAATAGTGTAATAACTATGTGTGGTGTCACATGGGTACTGGATTTATCAGAGTAATCACCTAGTAAGTTATATAATGTCTCATCACCAGATTGTACACCTGAAATTAATATAACATTGTATGTCAACTCCAATGGAAAAAAAAAATTAGAGTCAAAAAGAAAAGCCCAACCAGTCTGACTCAGTGGTTGAGCATCAACCCATGCACCAAGAAGTCACCGGTTTGGTTACCAGTCAGAATACATGCTCAAGTTATGGGCCAAATCCCCAGTGGGGGGCATGCAGGAGGCAGCCAATCGATGTTCTCTCTCATCGATGTTTCTCTCTCTCTTTCACTCACCCTTCCTTTCTAAAAAAAAAAAAATTAATAAAGAAAAATAAATAAAGTGGTTTAAAAAAAAGAAAAGCTCACATGGTAATACAAAATCGAAACTCTTATTTAAGGCTATTATTAATACAAAATAGTATAATAGTTCTGAATAGCAATTTGTCAATATGCATCAAATATTTTTAAAAAATAATTCTCATTGACTCTGCAATTTGACTTATAGAAGTTTGGCCGGTGGAAATTATCAGAAATGTGCCCAAAAGCTATATCCTTGTTTATTAATCTTAGTGTTACTTTTATTAGGAAGAAATAAATGACTAATGTATAGTAGTTAAAAAATACATACTATTGAATTATACATTTTGAAGGTTGCAAGAAAGTATTTTCAAGTTATAAAAAATAATGTGCTACATCTTCCTAATGTAAATGTACACAAACTCATAGACAAAAGTATTTTAAAAGACATAAAAAATACTGAGCTGGTTGGATAGAGGTTTTAGTAGCTTTTATTTTCCATTTGTATGCTTCTATATTGTTATCACTTCATTTCACTTGCAGAGCTTCCACAAAATTAGAAAAAAATAAGTATTTTAGTAAGAATTGCAAACAGATGAATTATATAACTGCACACAAATTTGTGTGCTAAGTGAGTTACATATGTCGTGTACCTTAAATATATTAAGTGCTAAAAACAGAACTTTAAAAATATATCAAAACACTTTAAAGGAATATATTAATGAAAATATAAAAATTGTATAGGGCAAATAGATACTCTGTATAACTATAATATTTTGGAAGTAAATGGTAAAAATGTTATTAGTCTCCTTTAAAAAAATTTTTTTTCTTTATTGATTTTTTTAAAGAGAGAGGAAGGGAGAGGGGCAGAGAGAAAGAAGCATCAATGAGAGAGAACATCAACTGGCTGCCTCCTGCATGCCCCCCACTGGGGATTGGGCCCACAACTTGGGCATGTGCCCTGACTGGGAATTGAACCGGCAACCTCTCGGTGCATGGGTCACACTCGACCACTGAGCCACAATGGCTGGGCTATTAGGCTCTTTTTATTTTTATTTTTATTATATATATATATTTTTTTTTATCCTCACCCGAGGACATTTTTCCATTTTTTGTTCAGATAGAGTGGGAGGGAGAAAGAGGAAGAGAGAGAGAGAAACATCGACGTGAAAGGGACACATCAAGTGGCTGCCACCTGCACAACCAACTAGGGCCGGGGACAAACTGCAACCGAGGTACGTGCCCTTAGCAGGAACCGAACCCGGGTCTCTCTGTACCGCAG